CTAAACCAATTGACGTAGCTATTGTCATTCACATACTTGCGCATTCATTTACCACACACACACAGACACACACGCACACTCACATGTGAGTCCAGTGTGGTGACCGCCTGGGGCGTTCTAGTGTAGCGCAGCGCCGAAACCAAACGGATGCTCCATACACCAAATGCAACGGCAACACCAATGCTAACACCAACACACAAATGAAAGTTTCGCACAACGCTGCGTATACGTAATTTATTACAAGCGACGCCATTTTGCGTCATTTCGCGCACTGTGCGCGTGGTAAGCTCTATTTGTGAGTGAGTGCGTGTGTGTGAGGGAGAAGATAAAATGCAAAATAGACGTCACGGCAGCTGCTGGTGTTTAGATAGGCGAGTTCTCCCTGTGGACGCTCAGCTGCCATTTGCTTTCATGGCCGGCTACTTTCCTGAAATATGTCAGCGCTCATGTTTAGCCGCTTTGGTCAGTGTGCGCTTGTGTGTGTGTGTGTGTGTGTTTGTGTACGTGTCTGTCTAATTCAATTACAAATGTTAAATGCAAAAGCGCCATCAAAAAATGCTGTGTGACCTGGCCTGGGAGCGAAGCACACCACACAAACGGTCAACTAATTTGCAGTCAACATCGAAAACTAACTAACAACAAGCCATTTAGGCCAGTTGGCTGCGCTAAATGCTGGCCCTGGCTGTTTCTGGTCCTGAGCCTGAGCTTGGCCCGGGAGCTTCAAAATGGCGGCAATTTCAACAAATTTTCATTATGCAAATCAATTTTACACTTTTTATTGCTGTCTCTGATGGAATTCCATGCATTAATTTTCGCGAGCCGAGTCGAGTCATTTAAGTGAGTGACTGCCTCGGCTTTGAAAGTTTGTTTAGGTGCCTCGCGCTTGTAGCACCACTTAGTTGTTAGTTGGGGGAACGGGAATTATCGCAGCGTTAAAATCATTTCGAGTGCAAATCTTCAATTAGGCAAAACAAGAAAATTGTGGAAAATTCAGCGCCGCTGGCAGGCGCCTTTCCACACTGCTTTTTCTTTTTAGCCACCACCGTTGATACGGCACACAAAAAAGTTTATTTATTTTTCTTTTTTTGTCATTCTGCTTTCAATTGCTTTTTTTTTGTTTTTGTTATTTAATTTTTTGCACATGAATTTGGTTCTCTTTCGGTTCTGGCTTTCATTCAGTGAGCTAATTATGCGCTACAATGCGTCTCCGTGGCCATTGTGTTGGCTTGAAACTTCCAAGCTCATCAGTTCTGTCTATATTTAGTCTGCAAGGGAAGCCAATTGTGAAGGTCAAGGGCAGAGGGGAGCTTGGTCTGTATAGAAATTAAATACTATATTTGTTGGGGCTTTGCAAAGGCTTACGAATGAATGCAGTGAAAGCAGCCGTTGCTAACAAATGCTGAACTGATAGATAAGAAAACTTCGCTTATAAAAATAAAACTAAAAATTAAAGGCAATTATAATATTCTAGCTCTTTTCAACTGAATCTAAATTGCAAATTTCGTATCAATAGATTGTGAACACTTTGACTTATCTTATCTGAAATTTTCAAAAATTGTTTAGCTTTAACTTTGCCGACCTATGGGGAGGGCTGCGACGTCTGATCCATTTATTTCATGAGAGCCCTGCATTAGGACATTCACATTATGCTGTCGACAATGAACGGGATTTTGACGTAGTAACAAGATAAGTTACTTTTGCGCCATAGCCGTAGCTCATAAAATGTTACATGGGGCTACAAGCACTGCATCCGCACCCGCCGCCGCCACAGCCGCACAGGCAGGCTTCAATTACAGACATTGTGTTGTTTCCGGAACAGAGGGTTGTTTGTTGAAAGCTGCAGACTGCTGCCCATAAAAAGTTTGTCTATATTTATATAATTAACACAATGAAAAATTTCAACAGCATTTGTTTATCTTAAAGGCAGACGCGTGCTCCCGACTGTGATTAGAAATTGCCAACAAATAAATTAAAGGCATTACATTTGTTTTTGGGATGCTCGAAACGGAAGGAAGTTGCTTTCCTTTGTTGCACGACCATTTTCGACGGACCCTGCCTTTCAGTTTAATGCTGATAGATGATGTTGATTGGAAAGACTGATGCGACGAACCAATAATCAAGTCAGAACCGTGCTTAAGCCCTTCAAGGCAGAGGCAGCGCGTGCCGCAGCTCAGCACACGAAGCTGGATATTGCGCAAGGAAAAAGCAAAGGAACTCGGAAATGTTGGGCAGAAAAAAAAGAAGAAGAAGAGGAAGATATGCGAAGAGTTTCAGAGCCACAGTTTGCGACCTTTTAACAGCGACGCACATTCGCACAAAAACTTCAAAGTTGGGCGAGCCTTAAAATGTAATACGAGCGGCAACAGTCGCGTTCAGTTGGGCCAGCCACAAGCCGCAGAGTGTAGATGTGCTCCATGCCACATTTCGTTTTGCTGTCGCTGTTTCCTTTTATTGAAGCTGAGCTCAAGATCCTTTAACTGCCTTAAAGCATTTGAACTTAAGCAAAAGTAAAAAGACTATATCTTAACGGGAAAGTGTTGCTATATATTCATTGGCATATGCTTTACGATATATGAAGTATTATATGCATATCTAGAAGACTTTTCATACTAAAAGTAGAACGTATACAGCTTGCTCACATGCAACCTCTAAAGAGTATTCGATGTTCGAGTGTTTGAGTTGATTTTTGTGAGTTTTCTGGTTTTTTTCGCTTTCCTGTCTCCATGTCGTTTCGTTTGCTTTTTGTCCTGTTATTCATAGCTTATAAAACAATTCCCCTAGCTATTGCGCTCTAATGTTGGTCGAGCATTTTGTCCGCCTCCCACTCTCGTTCCATGCGGGAGCATCTACAAAAGAGAGAAGACGGAAAAAATAAGAAAAAACAGCATCGGCCGTATGACTACTTAAGGTAAATAGATGGCACTAGCCCGGCCTCAACCTGAACCTGAACCCAAACCTGGCCACATGCACACGATAACCTACGCCTGCCACGCGCCCGTCCCACTTCCCAGTTCCCAATTCAGAGTTGCTAGTTGCCCGTTGCTGATGATGATGTTGCTTATGTTGTAAACATTTTAAGCAAATTGTTTAGGTAAATAGATAAGACGTGACCTTTTTTCACGGGCACAAATGCATTGTCAGAGGCCACAGTGGGCAGCCCCTGGGATTGTCTTTGACTGGGCGGCATGGTGGGCGTTGAGCGTTGGGCATGGGGGTTGGTTGGCTTATGTCTGGCTAATGTATTACTTACCATTATTATGCTTTTTGCTTTTTTCTATACATATCTTTTATGTATTATTGTCAATTATAAAATAGCGGTACAATACATGCTGGCTGCGGCTTCAGTTGCGACTCCTGCTTCTGTTTTTGCTTCGACTATTGTCATTGTCCTGGATGACATGGCTTTTGTGTGCGGCACAATAGTCCTGGCTCTAGTGCTGCTTCTATTTTACCCTCATTGTCGTCTTTAAGTTGAAAAATATGCAAATAAATAAACATAAAGTAGGTAAAATTGTCTGGCCAACAACCCGAGTGCGCCTGAGTGGCCTCGCTCGTCCTGTTTTCTTTGCCATGGATTGGGCAGAGTTAACGCAGCCTGCCAAGTAGACCCGAGAGGCTTGCACTTAAAGTGTTAATGGTGGGCCTGGTTTCCCATATACGACTCTGGCCCTAGGGTGACATGCACAAGACACAAGGGGTCGGGGGTCAACAGATATCCATATCATCTTACTCCTAAAAGCCCAACTCTCTTCGACAGTGACATGATAGTTAATGTTTATCATTGATGTGGTTATGAATTTACATACGTATCTCAGATGTGAGAATGTAATCTAAGTATTTTGGCATGCGATGAACTTTAAACTTTAAACGCAATAAAATGCTGAAGGAATATGCCAGAAAGCTTTAGATGAAATTAAATAACAATTGTAAGTTAGTAAATAATTGCATTATTATTGAGTAAATTAAAGAATGCATTCTCAATCTATGAAATAGAGCATATATTTTAATATATTAAGATTATTCCTAGTCGTATAACTTTTACTGATTTGATTGTATTTTTAATTTAATCAAGTTAAATCCATAACCCACACGATTAGATTATAAACAAATTCATTCATAAAAAATATTATCATATTGCGTTTTAAACGAATTTATCTAGCCGTGACTTTTCTATTTTTTATCTCGACAATGAACTCAGCACAATTGCTATTGGTCAGTCAACTATGCGTGGCAATATCCATATGGGAAGCAAAATATATTTATGTTAATTGAAAACCTGGGTGAGTTCCAATGTGCCATATGGAATATTGAAGACATTCCCATCATTGAAAGTGAGATATGAAATAATCCAAGGCACGTTGAACTAAGATAAAAATAATACGCTCTGACTTATCGTTAGATAAAGACAGGGAAACTCCATAATTTGGATAAGGCACCGTAAATGTTCTTAAAAATTTGAAATAAAACTTTTGTTAGCTATTAAATGTTACTGGTGAAGGACAAAATAGTTAGGGGGAGATAAGAATATATGCATATGATAATAGAAATTATGCCAGTTATTATGAAAACTAATTTAAAATTTCGAATACTGTCAATAGTAACACTATCGATATCAATAATACAATCAATGAGTGGAGAGTAATCAATTATAGAAGCACTTATAATATATTTAATAATGTTCAGATATATTAATTTTTGTCAACTTTTAAATAGAAAACAATCTTCGTCGTGTTCTCATGTTTCCCGCAATTCATATAGTAAAAAGTTCAAATACACAGAGGACAACTGCATAATAAGTTTAGATGTAAATATTGTATTGAGATAAAAGCATTTAGTGACTTTAATATTTTTTAAAGTTATTTATTTATTATTTTATAATATGTACATATTTTATAGTTTAGAGAAAGTTAACTTAAAAAATTCGCAAAAATTCCGAAATTATTCAATTAAATCATAATTATAAGTATATAAAGGAAAAGGTTGTTATAAAATAAATGAAACTATGACTCCTGATTTTCCATGAGCGACTCAAACAGCTTCCTAGCCAAGTTTCTTACCACCTTGCCATTGTTGTTCATTGGCAAAGTATCGACGAACTGGACTCCAGCGTTCAGCTGCTTGTATTCGACAACAACGCGCTTTGCTACGTGCTCGATGATCTTCTCTTTGGAGATTTCAACTCCTGGCTTTTTGATAACCAAAGCACCAGCTGCATCGGTGTAGTTTGTATTTCTGACACCGACAATGCAAACATTTTCAACCTCTGGCAGCTCAGCAATAATTTGCTCTATTTCGTTGGGCCAGAAGTCCTTTGATTTGTATTTTAGCACGTCCTTCTTGCGATCGACCAAATAGAGATTGTTGTCATTATCAAAGTAGCCAAGATCGCCTAGATCAATCCAGCCATCCCTGAAGGTGGCGGCTGTATCCTTAGGATTGGCCACATAGCCTTGCCATGTTACGCCAATATCAATAAGTATTTGGCCGACCTCGTTGTGTCCCAATGCTTTACCCTCATCGTCTATGATCTTAATCCTAACGCCTGGTGGCAGTTTACCCACAGAGCTTGGTAGGCTCTGATCAATGTTAAGGGCTATTGTGCCAGTCTCCGTGGCTCCATACGCGAACACAATTTTGGCTTTCTTCATAAGGTCCTGGCCCTTCTGCAGTATCTTCGACGAAAGCCAACCACCGACAACAATACTCATGCGTACGCTGGCCAAGCTCTGCTCATTAGCCAATGGACTTGTGTACACCTCAAAGCCTTGCCAAGGTGCCATCACAATTATGGTTACCTTGTACTTTTCGATCATGCTAACGAATCGATCACCATTGAATGGCTCATCGAATATAACTTGACTGCTGCCATAAAAGAAGCACAACATCATCAGCATTAGGCCCGTCATCCAGTCCAATGTGGCACTAGTTAAGACCACATCCGTGCAGTTACCAATTCTGAAATGAACTGGTTTGAAATAATGCCTCACATTGCAAACGATTTGTGGACTTACGCCTCCACTTTGTTGAGGTGCCTATGAGAGATGGCCACAGATTTAGGCTTTCCCGATGTACCTGACGAGCATAGAATGGCTGCCACCTGATTTCCGTCAGTGGCTAAGGGTACGGGTCTAAGAAAGAGAAGGAGGTAAAGATAAAGGGAGAATTTCTATGCTGTGACCTTCTGTATTGATTGTCTAACTCACTGGATGAAACGTTCCATTGGATGTGGTTTCAGCAGATCCTCAATATATGGTACGCCTTCAACGCGTCCTGTTAGTGTTACATACTTGGGATTCCACTCCTTAGTTATTTCCTTCATGATCTCATAGTCTTTGCCATCGCAGAACATGATTTTTGGCTTTGTTGTCTCGTATAATTCCCTAATGACATCTGGCTCCTTCATGTAAGTGTAGGCAACAGCATGGAACGGAGTCGTGTTAAAGAAGCAGCCCACAACAAGGGAGCTTGTGTAGGTGCTAGCATTGCCAATTATGCCGATGACATCCTTATGGGTAAGTCCCTCACTTTTCAGGTAGAGTGCCAGGCGTGTGGCCCAGCTGTGCACGTCTCCAAAGGTCACAACACGTCCGTCAATATGCGAAGTCTATTTAAGAATATTTGCATTAGCTCCGTTTGCTAATGATTTGTTGAATTTGTGCTTACTTGAACGACATTTGTTGGATAGTTCTTGACTGAATGGTATATTCTTTCTCCCACCGAGCAGTCCTTATCGAACAGCTTACGCAGGGTCAATCCACTCCACACTTTGGTCTTCTCATCAAAAAAAGTTGGAAATAATGCTTTAGCTGCCATATTGTCTGTGCAAAAGTTATGGAACTACTGTCTGTCTGCTTGCTGGAACCTTTAAGCTTATATAGCACATTGAGCTGATATACTCAAATAATAATCTTACGATGATACTGATTATCGTTTGAATATGAATGGCTTACTGGAGCAAAGTTTCAATTAGAATAGAGATATTGGCTAGCTCATGTTTGGTCGCACGCCTTCAATAGTTTCAGTCTTATCTTAAATTTCTCTTTTAATTTCCTTAAAAAGTATTCATTATTATCCGTCATGGAGTGACACTCGAGGTATTATTTAATGGTGTCTTTAGATTATACTTCAATACCCTTACAGTGGGCTTAGTATATCAGGCATGTGTTGTGTAACCGAAATGTATATATATATTTGTAATGGAAATATGACTATATAGGAATACCCATTGTAAGGGTATGTAAGTATTATCTAATTGTCTAAATACGCTCTTGAATAATGTCCACTGACAGTCGAGACATAACAGATTGCTATTTTTTTTTTCATTGGGTATTATAGTCAATAGTCTAGTTTAGATAATACTTACATGTATTCCTTTACAGTGGGTATTCTATTATAGTCACGCAATGTACTACATAAAAAAAAAATATATATATATATATTATATATATATATTAATATTTTTTTTTAATCATAATTGTGAATATAGCATCAATTCTCATTCAATGCCCTCGTTGATCTTTCAAAGACTTTAATTGAAATGTAAAGAGGTTTATATTCTATAATCAAAAGTTGATTTAGTTTATTTAAGATCGATACATATCGATATTCAGAAGTGATTGAGTGTCCGAGCTATAATTGTTTTGTGAGCTCTTACATAGAAAAGATTCAAGTTTCTGAATATTCTGAAAGTATTTCCAATTTAAGAAATGGTAATAAAGTAAGAAAAAATTAATATCGATCATCTGTTCTACTTAGTTTTAATTAACATGTGAAAGCCGAATTGATTGACGATTAGAATAACAAAGGTACCTGTTTTAACCAGTTCGATCAGTTTATTTTACAGACCCCGTACTGTCAGTTGTTCGAAAGTGCGGTTCGAAAGTGAAAAGGGATAAATATGCAAAAAATATGAACAGAAAACAAACAATTACCATCATCCGGGCAACAGGACAACAGCTTTTCGAACTTCTTTCGTTCCATCGTCTGTTTCAGACCCAACAACTTCACGCTCGACCGGCAGCTTCATCCTCATCTTTTGCAGCTGCCAAAACAGTCAAGTGTTTCGCTTGCCGTTATTGCCAACCCCCCAAAGGCCGGGCATCTAATCGAATTTGATGGCTTCACACTGATAGGAGCAGCTGCTGCTGTTGCTCCAGCTTCTGCTGCACCTTCCCTACCTCAGCCCACGAATCCGGCCACGGGTTTTATTGCCTTTTATATTATTGTATTAGCCGTGTGGCATATGCTTTAAATATTGCCTGTCCCTTCGCCGATCCATTGTTCGGCTCTTTGTTGCGCTGCCTCTGCTTATTTGCAGCAGATTTCAGCGCCGATTTTTATGTTCAGCGTTTATTATGCTTTGCTTTTTCGCGCCTCTTTTTAACCCCTTGTTTTATGCGACGTTCGCTGGTGCTGCGTGTGTCGACCGGAAATGCCTCATTTTTAGAAGTGTTTTGCATTTTGTTGCCGCTCGACTCTTTTTTCGCTCGCTTTTTTTTTGCCTGCTGCTTTTTTTCTCTTCTGTTTTCTACAATTGTAAACGCGCTTTTCGCTTTTCCGTGTATGTGTGTGTGTGTTTATGTGTTGTAGTTGTTGTTTTTGGTGTTTTGGGCTTTTGGTTTCTATTTTGCTCTGCTTTCGGTTATTTGTGAGATATATGCAAATGTGTTGGCAGTTATTTGTGTTGAGGATTTGTTTTAGCTCCGCTCATGTTATGCATATGTATTTGTGTTTTAGTTTAGTTTTGTCAGCCTGACATGGCATATGGATATGGATGTGGATGCGGATGGGGATAGGGATATGGATATGGTTTTGGGTTCGTTATTATTTTTAGGGCTAGCTTTTCTTTGATTTATGCTGCCAAATATTTTCACTGCAAATTCCGTGACATTTACGTTCAAATTCGTTTTTCTTTTTTCTTTTTAAATATTTGAAAAGAAAACCATTTTCATTTTTGCTCTATATATTTTAAAAAGTATCAGACGTAAAAAAGTATCAACTGAATACTTTTAAGGTATTACTATAGCTTACGCTGATAACGCTCAGAATGCGCTCGACTGCAAACAGTTTTGCCTAATAGTTCTTAGTGGCTTATCAAGCTCAGTTAACGACACTTGGATTAGTACAGTGATTGCATTATTCGGGAAATAACGCTTGTGAGTCGCGCACTTTCCGAATAATATTGGCCCATAGTATACTTAACTATATTTTTTAATTAAATCGTGTAGGCAATTTGGAAAATTTATTGTGCACGGCTGTAACTGAAATGATTGAATATCAATTCATAAAAAAATCGAAAAACTTAAATTAAAAAGTGTTTAGTTTTTTTCCATTAAAGACAAACACTTTGATATAGGAATTTGCCTAATTTTATAAATATCATTGCATATATAACTAATGAAAATTCATATACATACTAATGTTGGCAATATCCATATTCCTTATATAATATTGACGCATTTGTTGATACTGATAAAAAATACATAATTGACTGAAAACGTTTCTTATTGGGATTTCTAAAATTTCAATTAAGTCTATCCCAATTTTGGCGGCGATTAAATGTCTGCTATCAGTTATAGCGGAACTGTATTTGTCAAAAAAAAGTATTGAACTTATTTAGACTTATCAGCAATACTTCCGGCTTCTCCAGCTCAAACATAAACAATAGATAAACTGTGAGGTAAGGGAAAACCTAGAGTTGAACCTTTGCAATTGACGCGTGCGGTGCTCAGTTAGATTCTTTGCGTGTGCAAATAAATATTATAAAAATTGAAGGAAGAAAGCAGAAAATAATTACAATTGCATACCAGCAAGATCGACAATTTCAACTACTTCAACTAGCATATAGCTTGATATCATATATAAGCAGGTGAGTGCATAACCCAACTGATTAAGCTTTAAGTAAATGGATCCATTTTTATGTTTTTTTACTGTAAAGCACAGTTCATAAATTTTTTGTATACCATTAAAATATCCTTAGTTCTTAAAGCTAGAAAAATAAAAATCACAGTGTGAACTTATTGAAACTGCTTTTTAAAGAGCAGTTCGAACGTTGGCATCATAAATAAAAGAAATGAAATCATTTCAAGCAATTTGTCTACAGTTTTGTGTCACACTTTCTGCGTCATTTCTCACATGCCATAAAAATGCTACACACACACCCAAATACACACAGAGTCAGTCGCACACCCGCCGTACTCATAGTTCGGCTGAGGACACACCACAAGGCACAAGGCTGGGCACCAGCTCCAGATCTGCACCCACTTCCAATCCAGAAATAAGTTGGCCGCCCAGCAAGGTGTCACGCTGATAAATGGCGTTGCCTTACTTACGCCAACTTCTCTATCGGCATGGCTACCTGTTCGCCTCCTTCCACTTTATGATTTTTCCATGCCCTCTGCCATTTTGCGTTTATTTTTTACAAAACTTTTTTCGTGTGCCAATTTCAAGAAAGATTTCCTTTAAGTGTAATAAAATGCAGTGTCGCTGTCATAAATCTATTCCGCTCGATTGTCGACGACGACGACGACGCCGACGACTGCGACGCAGCGCCACAAAATTGAAATGCATTGACATTGAATAATGAATTCTAAAGGAGTATAAAAGTGGTCCAGACAGCCAAACTTTCACAAAGCGTGTCAATACTTAGCATTGGCATTTTATTATATGCAAAGTTGTGTCGCAACGCTAATGCGGAAATTAAATATTTTCAAAAACTCAAACGAAAATGGGAAAAAAGCACAACAACAATGGAAAGCTTCGAAACAATTTCCAAACATTTTTGTTGACAGCAGACACGAACACACACAAATTGTGCCCCTGTTTTGAAGATGAATGTATGAAGATGTTTCCGCAAACCTTTTCGCCAAGTTAAATGAGAAGCAAGCTTAAGAATTCTGAATTTTACTCAGAAGTCAAAATTAGTAAAGTATTGATTCGCTCAATTCAGGTGACATAAGTGATACTTAAACACTTTTCATCATGGCGAAATCGTGTCGCATACAAATTGAGGAACATCTGCGTTCTACTCTGTCTGTATAGTTTTGGCGTTAGCAAAAACGTTACTGCGAGCTGGCTTAAAAATTCTAATAACACAAATATTTGCAGATGAAAGAGGTACTAAAAGGCATTTGGCCGCACACTCCACTTGTCAAATGTGGAGTGAGCACGAGATACATGAACCGACTTGTGGGCAGAGTGGGGCGAGCTAGGGAGACGACCTCCATCGACCCCCGATCTTGCCCCTATGGCTGGCAGTCACAATCTACCGCCCCGGATGGCAGTCACTGTCACTCCATCATTTTGGCTCCGGCGTTGGCATACTTTTTGACAACACCAGGACAACAACAAGCCACAGACAAACTAACAAAAACGAGTCACACACACACAGTCAGAGAGAGAGAGAGAGAGAAAGAGAAAAAATTTGTAATTTTCGTAGCATGTTTGCTGCGTTTTGCACTTTTACTGCACATTTTTCATTTGCTGCGCAAAACTTTTTGACATGTTGCAGAGCAAATTGAATAAGTCCGTAAAAAAAAACATTGCAAAACAATAGAACAAATGTTGCCCGCATGTTGCATGGTGCGTGCAACTGTGTGTGTGTGTGTGTGTGTGGTTGTATTTGTTGACGTGCGTGTGAGTGACCCTTAGTCGGAATAATCAAATTTGCATTGTTACCATGGCCCTGGCTACTGTTAATCGCTTTCTGATGAACTTTTCAGTCTCGCCCATATTCCAAATCATCTCTTCGAATATTGTTACCCCAAGATATGAGTGCACCACAGCTGAAACGCTTCTGGCCAACAGCCAGAACA